ATAAATTCAAAAGCATGTTTATTTCAACAATACATAACCTGGGTAATCAATTTTTAGCGTGTCCTTTTTTCCTTCTTGTTTACATTCGGCAAACTTAACCGAAAACGGCCTGCAAGCGGCGAAACCGAAGTAGAGGGTCCGGAAACCCACGCAATGTTCCAAGCTCGACAAAACCGGTGGAACATCACAATATTAACGGCAATCCGTCGTTTCTGATACCGATCCCCATATCATCCTCACCCCCCACCCGACGTCGAAAGAAAAACAGATCATCCCCGAACACTAAACGTAGAAAGAGGCCGGTATGAGGACCAGCGTCATAAACGACAAAATGACGCTAATATCACAAAGTTTCACCAGTTTTACTGAACTGGATCGGATCGGACACCCACCCCGACGGCCCCCCGGATCCAAACATCCACAGACTTTCCATAATCGCAGGAATTTCCATTAATTTGCTATCCATTTTATTTTGATTTATTCAGCATTCAAATGCTTAAATAATTTCAAAATATGTTTGTTTATTTTAAACATGAAAAGCATGTTTAAAATAAACATATTAATTTTTGATTGCATATAGTTTTCAAATAAATCAAAAATATTCACGTTTATTTTCAACACGAATATTTTTAAAATAAACGTAACATTATTTTTGTTTTAAACATTATTATCAATGGATTCAAACGTAGAATACGTTTGAAATCAACCTAGTTTATGTTTGTGGCCAGAACAAACTGAATTTACGTTTAAATTTACCTCAAATATTTTTGTTTCGACGGTAATTTTTTCTGCGTGTAATCCCGAGCAACCTGATTCTCAATAGGACTAGTAAGAGCCAAACTGAAATTATGGGAACTCTCGAATTGCTTAGCAAGTTTCTGAGCTTTTTCCAAATTTGTGATCAAAATTTTACCACCTTCTTTAAGCGCTGGACTGGAATAGGCTTTTGAGTTTTTTTTTTAAATTTTTGTGAGTTTCCAAAAGGGTTTGGAACTTGGGTCTAATTTAAAAACATTATTTTCAAAAGTTTTGTTCCTCAGGGCAGAGAATCGCTTTTTAATTTGTTTTTGCAAATCCCGCCAGATAATGTTCATGGCAGGATCGCGTGTTCTTTGATATTGTCTCCTACGGACATTTTTAAGACGGATCAAGAGCTGAAGATCGTCGTCTATTATAATTGATGTAGTTTGTCTTCGATGAATTAATGACAAGGCCATCGTCTCATTATTCCGTGCCACGATGTCGAAGTCAAAGGCATAGCAGCGAAGCTGGAGAGACTTCCTGAAGATCATACCACTCGTACCAGTCGTACCTATCCCGCTCTTCGGATTACACATTCCAAAGCGATAATAAATAGCAGACACGAAAGCCCATCACCTTGCCCCTCGAGATTCGAAGGGGCTCCAGAGTGTCCCCGAAGCTCGGACAAAGCACATCACTCGATTCATCGTCACCTTGTCCAATCGATAAGTACATCCTAAAATCCGGATCCATTTCCGTAGAGTTAAGACACCGCTTGAAAAATCGACTTTCGGAGCGAGACCCGGAGGGCCGACTGTTTTTGAGTTCACCATGCACTAAATAAAGGAGCCTCCCTTAGTTCAGTAAATAAGGACACAGCTATAAAGCAAGACCATACTAGAGGTAACTTTGAATATTTTCGGAATCGATAAACTGGTTCCGGAGATATGACCGGAACATTTTCCGGTGAGCACGGGTCTTTAGACTAGAAATGACCAAAAATGTGCGACACATCAAATCACATAACACTTCGAAAATAATATCAATAGGAATCTAGTGATTGCCTAGAGGCTAGGGCCACAACCGGACATGTTCGGTGTGGTCAAAATAATATTGAATCAAAACCGCGGTAATGTTGAGTACCCGGAACATGTGGACATTTATTTATTATTCTCTTCATCGGACTTTTGTTGTCTAAATGAAGATTGATGGGGAAAAGCCTATTTGGCAAATATTTGCGCAAATAGGCGTAAAAATCCCATATCTTTTCAAAATACAAGGAACAATATAAAAAGGACAGAACAACACATCAATTATAAAAATAAACACCGAATAATAATAATAATACTATGGTCTTCATCATAAAAAAAAAAAAAAAAAATAACCTCGTCCTATGACATGGAGTTGTCCTTGGATCAGTCGAGGCCGTCATCGCAGACTTGATCGGGAACAAAAAAGGAAACAGGTAGCAAAATTCATCAGATGTACATTAATGGACAGTTACTCACCGTCTTGCAACAATTTGCTGATTGAAAGCAGTTGCATGTGTCGAACCGTATCGTCACCTATCCAGCAGACTACGTTGAATCCGTTGACGAAATGTTTCCACTGTGCAGTTGAAATCGAAAAAAAACATAGAATTCATTGAAACGGGCAGGCATGAACCGTATTGGATCATGTAATCCGTAATTAGCTGCACGGGGTCCGAGATGCAGGAAACTTCTCGATCGTAGAACTCGTGCAGGTGCATAGATTTCGAATTCAGCCAAAATCCCGGGAGAGTCGATTTCGCTTATCAGCACTTTTGCTGCAAAAACTGCCTGGTTAATCTTCCGCCTACGTTCAAGAGTTTCAATACCCAGTAGTTGGCAACGATATTCGTAGGGTGGAAGGTTCGTACGATCGTACCAAGGAAGGTGGCGAAGAGCGTAACGAACGAATTTCCTCTGAACAGACTCGATTCTCGCTATCCAAACTGTTTCATACGGACACCATACCATAGTATACTACACCAAATTCCAAGATCGATCGCACTGGAGAACAATATAGAGCTGTCATGCAGGTAGCATCTCGAAACTCAACAGAGATCTTAAAGATGAATCCGAGTTGCCTGTTAGCTTTGGCTATGATATCCGTGTAATGTAGCTTAAATGTCAAAGTAGAATCAAGTGTAATTCCTAGATCACGAACGTTGTCCACACGCTGCAGAGGTTGGTTATCGATCGTATAATTGAATGGAATAGGTTTTAGCTTGCGAAGGAAAGTGATGATATTGCATTTTTGAACACTCAACGTGAGAAAATTCCTAGAGCACCACTCTTCGAAACTATCGATCAGGTGCTGCAACCGCAGGCAGTCAGTAAAGCACCGCACAACCACGTACATCTTGACATCGTCTGCATAGAATGACCGGCAGCCAGTTGGAAGTATCAAACCGATTTCGTTAATGAATATGGAGAATAGCAGCGGTCCCAAATTGCTGCCTTGAGGAACGCCTGAGTTGTTTGAAAAATATTCCGATTGTTCAGACCCGATTTTCACACAAAGCTATCGATTGGTAAGATACGATTCAAACCAACGAGTGAGTCCATGAGAAACACCAAGCTTCTCGAGTTTGGCAATTAGAATGGCATGATCAACCCGGTCGAAAGCAGCCTTGAGATCCGTGTATACGACGTCCACCTGTGCCCCTGCCTCCATATTCCGTAGGCATAGGGAAATGAAAGGAGCGAGGTTTGTTGAGATCGAACTTTTGGGGTGGAAACCATGTTGGTCAGGAGAAATGTAGTTTCTACAGCTGGCAAATAAAGCGTCGTTGATGATTATCTCGAAAGTGAGCAGGCACAAAGTGAAGTAATTCCTCGGTAATTCTCCACATTTTGTTTGTCTCCTTTCTTGAAAATCGGAAACATGAACGAAGATTTCCAACGAGAGGGAAATACACCTTGTTGTAACGAAATATTGAACAGCTTTGAAAGCGGAGAGGAAAGCTCTGTTGAGCATCTTTTGAGTATGGACGATGGAATGCCGTCAGGCCCAACAGCGTTCGAGAATTGCAGCTTCTGGATGGCAGAGTCGACGAGGTCCAATGTGACCGCAAAATATCAAAGCTGAACGCGTCACTGGGAGTATCTCTGATCCCTTCAGCAACTTGGCTTAACGATGCCGTTGAATCGTTGAAAACACTCTTGAAATGTTCAGCCAGGAAGTTGCATTTCTCTAAAGAAGTGTTGGCTCTTTTATCGCTTAGATGAATCTCAACCGGTAGCCCATCCTCTTTCCTTTTTGTCTTCACAAACGTCCAGAATAGCTTAGGATTACGCCGGAGATTGGACTGCATACGTCTTGAGTACTTCTTGTATAGAAAACGGTTGTATATTCGGTAGCAATTACTTGCTAACGAAAATAATCGCTTGGTAAATGGATTACGGGACTGGCTGTATTTTCGAAGAGCCTTCGATCTTACACGCTTCAAGTGTTGTAGTCGAGCATTGGAGCATGCAGGTTTTGGAGCAGGTCTCCTCAGAGGCACACAATCAATTATTAATCGGCTAACAACTTCGTCGAAATAGTTAACGGCTTCATCAATGGACGAACACAAGTCAAGCGACTGCCAATCTACCTGGGTCAGTGAGTGATTCAATGCGACGTAGTCAGTTCTACGAAAGTCCAGGTTTTGTACATCAACGATGTTTTCATAGAGAACAGGAACTGATCGATTGATGAATGCTTCCAACGCTGGATGATCGGCGTCTAGATGTATCAGAGGCTCGGATGCCTCAGCGACACTGCACTCTAGTGCGGCGGCTTCGTTCACCAACACAAGATCAAGCAGCCGATAGTTTCTGTTTGGTACAGAATTAATTTGCATTAAACCATGCAGGCTAAAACCATCCAAAAGAGCACATGTTCTAGATGCCCCCGGGGAGCTATAAAATTCCACCTTTTTTGCGGAATTAAAATTAGTTGGAAGGGTCAGTTGAGGTAAATAAAGTCAGGCAATATTAATTATGCGTTAAGTTGCGGAAACAAAAGAGAATAACGAATCACTCACCTGCCTGCACGGAACACAGACCGTTCTGATCTGAAATAATTACAAACATATTCATACATTACCCATACCCAGTCAGTTTGTTCAGCTCATTTTACCTTCCAATGCACGATGCGTTCTTTCTCCTTCTCGACTTGCTATTCATACAGCCCAAGGATTTCTTTCCTCACGCACAAATACATGAAACTCTTCTTAATTTCGTACGAGATTACGCTTCAATAAAATCTTTACTCTAACTTATGCGAATATATCTTGAGAATGGCTCCAGCGTTAGCACCGGTTATAATTAAAACCTTAGATGGTATGAGAGCGATGAATGATTACTTGTTGAGATTGAGCTCACTGCACACGGCTTTGGTTATCACGGAAGCGACACCAAACTCTTCCAGTTCGAGGATTTGCTGTCTCAGAGTAGGTTCCAAGTTATTCGAAACGAGCTGAAAGATAAATAGGATTCTCTTACATGTAGTCATAAGAAAGGTTCAGGAGCTCAACGGCAGTATTACCTTTTTAATCGAATCTTTTTGGTCATCGTTTGCATACGGTATCAAGATTGCAGCCATATTAGCTCGATTCGCATTGTTGCAAACCTCCGCTATTTCCAGCAGGTTTAATGACGACGAAATAGGACACTTTTGGAGCATGATTAACGATTTAGCTAATGCAGCATCTTCTTCGAACGATCTAACACGACTTGCATTCCGGAAGGGAGCCTTGATTATGGTTTCCCAAGCCATCCGGAAGCCTTCCAGGTTGTTCAGTTGTTCCCGAGCCGAAATGATATCCAGCAGCATGGTAAGATGGCTTAACATGTTGGTACGAGCCATTTGCTTCAGTACACCATTCCAAATCTGCGGTACGAAGATGTCGTATCCTAGGCAAATGTAAGCGATCACTTCTAACCCCTTGGTGTTGGTAGCATGTGATTGCCAGAGGCGCTTCAGAAGTGTCATTTTTTCGGTTTCCTCAAATTTGCTCACCGTTAAGTTGTTGAATCCAAGTGATTTCAGGAAGTAGATGCATTTTAGCACGATGTAATGGTTCGGATTAAACACATCAACGTACGACATGCATTGATCGTCGATCAATTTACTGAAACAGTCGTAGATCTGCAGCTGCTTTTTGGCATCCACTCCGGCATCTCCGGTGCAAAGTTGCGTAATGAGGAACTGTACACTCTTTTCCTTGTTCCAACTTTTCAGGATATAGTGAGCTCGGGCAACATACTCATCAGCCGAAACATCGGCGTCCGACTCATCCACCGACATGTTGTGATCTTCGTACATGGTCTCTTCCATATTCCCATTCGAGTCGTTGTTAGGTCCGAGTATCGAGAGCCACTTTTGGATCAAACTGACCTGAATCGCGTCGATATCCAGCTGGTGAAGCTTTGCAATCTCGCAAACCAAGCTGTTGATGTCGACCTTTCGTTGTATTGTCTCGCTGTAGAGAGCATTGATTAGTTCCTGTGGATTCTTGACCAGTGCACACAATTTATCGTCGTTTATGCCGTACTGTAGTAGCAAATGCTGTGTCTTATAAATGGGATATTTACGAATAATTTTCTCCATTTTATCTTTTGTATCGGCGTTGTTGGCCAAGGCATCCTCGTGCTGACACGCGAATTTGTAACATTCGAACGCAGCCTCTACCTGGTCCGCTCCCTCCGGTGCATTGTTAGTCACGTAGTACAAGATGAACAGCTTGGAGGATAGATCCGAAACGCAGTCCACAACGCGCAGGATCTGAAAGATTAGAAATTAAAACAAATAATGTCCCTTTTTCCGGAAAATTGAGAACTTACCGATTGAAGGAATGCATTGTTGACGGGCTGCAGATGCCATCCGGCAGTCGGAGCCAACTCCTCCGCTTGTATTTTGTACTCGGAAATCGAGTTGAGAACTGCAGATTTGCAGAAATAATCCTGCAACTCCACTGGATCCATGTTTTCCAGTGGTGCTTTCATCTGCACAAGCAGCAAGATCTTTTTGTAATTTTCAATGGTGATTCCTTCCTTCAGTAGACTTTTCAGTGGGTGGCGTACGAGCAGCAGGAATGGTAGTCGATATTTTGCAATCTTGGGAAGCATACCACCATCCGGTTGAAGTTTCAACCATGCGTCCAGCTCGATCTGCCCGGCCCGATGGTTGCGTTTCATCGTCAGGCCGTCTCGGAGGTAAACCAGAATCCGTTCCCAAATAATCAGCTCCTCTTGCATCTGATTAATTTGCGAAAAGATTTCCAATACGCTGAGGTACATTTCGTAGAAGTAGAAATTGGTTTCTTCCAAGAATTTCGTCAGCTTTGAACTCAGTAGCACGTGATTTGTGATTTCGTTGATATACGCCTGGCATTGCTTCAGGATGTCTTCTACGGTTGTTTTAATGACAACAACTTCCTTTCCAAATGCATCTTGCTGCACCTCAAATTCAAGTTCCTGCAAGCTCAACACGGTTATTACTTGCGATATCAGCACCTGCTGATAGTCCCAGGAGAAGTTCTCACTCAATTTGCGCAACAACTCTACGCTCAACACTTTGCTCTTCATCTCCTTAGTTAGTTCTGATATGTTGTGGAATGAGAGAGTTTTCTTTGTCTTTAGCGAAGGGTCCAGTTTGCACAATTCGTAGAAGAAGTTAAAGCGCATTCGGTGGCCCCGTTCCACGACTGCTCGTTCCATATCTCCGATGTTGATATAGTAGAACTCTAGCAGAGTATGGAAAGCGGCCCGCTGAGACTCATTCACCATGTTAGTCCGTAGGTACTCCAAACATTTATCGCGCGACGCACATTTGAACAGAATGGAGACGGCCACTGAAAAGGTACGACAATAGAATAGGTAGTAAGTTTTCAAACCATACAGAAGTAAATTGCAACTTACTGCTGTAATCGGGTTCTTTTTGCGACAGGAAGTACTTGAGAGATTTGCGTCGTAAGTTTTCAGCGAACTCAGGTGGAATAACAACTCCTGTTGCCTCCTGGTAAGTTAGGACCAGTTCCACCAACTTAACTGCAGCTGGATACTTTTTGTGTTTGATCAAGGATTCCAAGGTGGATTTGAAATCTATTGCAACGGTTTCCACTTCAATCGGAGCAATCAATTCGTGGAAGTACCGATGTGGCGATTCCATGCTTTCCGTTTGTAAACTTCCCACAACGACCTGCAACGCTTGTCCGATGCACTTGATTATCGTTTCCTGGTCGTCCAAATGTTTGGTCACTTCCGTAGCATCGTTTTTCGTTTGTACCATGTCGAAGGTTGACAGGGAGTCCCGTTTGTGACTTCTTCTCGCGGGAGCATCTTTGCCATTAGCTGTTTCAAACATGATTTTGAACACTTTTTCTGATAAGGTTGTTCGTTTGCTGTACTCCTCCAGAACGTCAACATCGTAATAATGGCTTCCCAACTGAACCCAACGCAATAGTTCCAGTTTGACAATCTCAGTGAAAGTTGATTCGTTGTAGCAACTTCTAAGCAGCATGTCTGCCAGTGGATATGCCAACGGATCCAACTCCCAGTTGACATGCGATTCCTCAAAGTACCGCATTTGATGAACCAATAGCAATGCCACCAAACGGTGCAAGTTTTCGTGCGTTTCGCGTCCCGGATCGATTATTTCCGCGACCTTGGCCAACACGGCACAACTTACATGCACATTTCCAACCATCTTCAATACCTCGTACAGACCTTCCAGTAAGTCGAACATCAGCGCTTGTGTTAAGCGCTTCATGCCACCCAACAAGGCGGGGACAAAATTTACGCGATCGTCTTTGATTTTGAGCAGTAGATTCTTTATACCGACGTGCAGTAGCTTTTGACGATCAGCTCCGTTGACCAGATGCTCTCGTCGAACCTCCAGGTGGAACTCTTTGCGAAGGTTTATAATAAATAGCATTTCCCGGACCTCGGATTGACTCATTGGAGGACATCGAAATTTGAGCATCTGCAACAGCTCGACATAGTTGTCCGTGTGTGGATCGTCAGGAGTACCACTATCAAGCATTTGCTGAAAGAAAACAAGAAAACCTAACGTGAGTCTCCAGTAATCAATCACTTATAGCGAATTTATTTATTATCTAGGTTGGAACCAGTACCAACCCGACCTTATTGTCAGTGCGAACCTCAACCCGTGCCAGGTTTCAAAAACAAACGTTAATACTGACGTTTGAAAGGCATTAAGCAGACCCAATCTTGATACCCGATCCAGGTTGGAACTGAATCAAAAACTAATTCGCTATTAGTTTTGACCCGTCCTTTATCCAAGGATTTTAAGGAATTGAGGCAAGGGAAAAAAATCCCTAGCAAAAAAATCTCGCTAGCTATAATGAAGTCGATATTCCATACATTAATGTTATCTGTTCTTAGCGTGTAGGCTCGTGTAGGTATTGCTTCCGCAACCCTTCTCTGTGTTAAGAAGGTCGAATCGAATGTCGGAGCCTTCAGTGATTTGTGAAACGAAGTCTTGTGAGTAAGATGGATTAAAATAAGGTTCGCTCCGCCCTGTAAGCGCATCATAAGCCAATAAGTACTTACAATAACAATTTCCACCAACCCTCGGCAGCAATCTTGCCTTCGCTCATCGTCAAGACCGTCGATGTACCGTACAGCGGAAACGAACTCACTATACTCGGCAAGTCGTAGCATCACGTTCATGTCCACGGCGTAGGAAATCTCTGGAGCCGAATCGGTCAACTCTTTGATATCGTTTAGCATGGCGGCGTCGCGCATCTTCAGCACCCGATTGGCCAACATGCGCAAACAATCCTGACTTTTCACAGGCCAACCGTACTTTACCTTGATAATTTTCACCATTTGCGTACGTTGTTCGATTAGGATACTTCCAGCAATCGGGTGGTCCGAGTTGGCATACTTTACCAGCGGGGTAATTACGGCCGACCACGGAACGGGTGATGCTTTTAGAATATCCAGAATACAGTTCAGTTTGAGATCTTCGTTATGGATGACCTCGACCAGAATGACGCAACGTTCCTCCCAATAGCTGTAGTTCTGGTTCGAGATCAGGAACTGGATGTATTGGATGATGGAATTCTGCAGCTGTGGTTCTTGGCCAACGAACATGGGATAGAGGAATTCTACAACGATACGTCTGAGATTCGTCAGTTGCACTGTTTGCATCAATCTAAAGGCCGTATGCTCTTTGGTTTCCTGAAGGAAATCATCGATGTTTGCATTCAGGTTAAACCTTTCCTTGAGCAGTGTGAGGTCTTTGAGGGCATCGCTAAGTTGCTGCATCTCCTCCATGTTCGTTTCATACTGCAATCGCATGTCCATTATAGGAAACTTCACGTCTTTGAAAATCGCAATGACATCGTCTATGAACGTGAGACCAACTTTCGGCCAGAAGGGCGCAAACTGGAGGGCCTTCGTTTTTCCAATAACAAAGGTAATCAGTATGCGCATCATTTGCGGGAGGTGTTGTAGAATTGGTGGCACAAAATGCATCAGCCACTGAATCAGATCAAGCGGAGGCGTGTCTTCGGGGATGGATTTGAGAAGACTGCTGATTTTCAACGCGTCCATGTTGAGAATTATCGATGAGATGTGCCTGGACCAGATGAGACATGCTGCCGGCATGTCAGTTTTGAATAGCTCAATGCAATGTTTTGTGAGATTTTGATGATAGATAAAGTTTTGCCATTCCGAATCCACTTCATATGGATCAATGAGCTTCAGAGTGTCCAACCTGAGAAGTTGTTCGTTGATTTCCGTAGCTTCATGGCAACCATTCTGGAAGTATTGATTTTTATAAATAAGTCCATGTTATAATAGTGTCTAATAGTCTTCAACTTACATCGACCTTATCTAGTAGGAACCGCAGGAACTGCCTCTTCATGTTCCGCTCAGGGATGGCAGCCATTCGTACAGTTACAAAGAATGTCGAATCATCAATCATGCTCAAAACATTCATCATTCTGGCGAAGGTTTGTTGCTGCTCATCACCATCCGGGTACTTACTGGTCGCCAATTGAGCCAACAAACATCGCACCTTCGCTTGATGAATCAGCTGAAGGCTTAGATCAAACTGTTTGGCAAACTCCTCCGCTTCTTCGAGTCGACCCTTGCGGATCAACTTGTCCAATCGGAGCGATGGTTGCGTTTCGGAGAGAATCTTCATTTCGATTTCCTGAACCTGCTGCTTGTCGTATGCGTTGCCAGTGACGTAGTAGATATTAACAGCGCTTTTCGGTTGCTGCACCAGCCAAACGTGCTCAGGCATGTCAAGCTCGTACTTGCATTCCATTGCTGTAAAAGTAATAATTTAGTTTTATAGAACTATCTACCTCTTATTGAATAATTTATACTAACAAGGAAAGTCGACAATCTTCATCAAACGGGTCCCATTTACGTCTGCTTTCGTGAGCAGTAACAGTTCTATAACGTCGGAAGTACATTCCATGATAATAATATCATCAATTTTGTACGATACTTGCAGATCTAAAGCCAACCTTGTAATAGGACAAATTTCAAACAGCTGACCACTATAAGTCAGAGCGATGCTATAACAACGAAAATATACATGGCGTTTATTTCGACATAAAGTGTCATTGTAATTATGTACTTACTAGCAATGCACCAAGTTGAACACCTTCCTGATGCCACAGTACTCTGGCTTCAATGGAATCTTCTCAAACCCTTCGGTCCCTTGGAAGTATATTGATTCGGTGCTCGTGGACATCATCAGCGGATAGGTCGAATCGCTTTCCAACTCATAACTGACCATTGGTACAAAACTGGTGATCGGTTCTCGTAGGTGTTTTTCCAAAATCCGATTAACAACGATGCAATCTTCGAAATTCAAGGTACCATCCATTCCGCTGCTGTCCAGTTGTTTCATCGATTCATTCACCTTCACTTCATCGATCAGGATTTGGTACACAGGACCTCGGTTGCATTGAATGAAATAACTACCGTTGACCTGTCGGAGCTCGGCAAACGTTTTTCCCGTCGGATTAAAATCATCCGGGTGAATAGACCTGGAAAATCAGTATTTTATCACTCCTGATCCACCTTTATCATCTATTTCAACTCACAAACTGAACAAATTAGCGCCCTTAACGTGGAATCCGGTAGTGGTTCCATTCGATAAACCGCAAATGACTAGATCGCCACTCTCGGAAGTCGCAATGCACTCGATATCGTGCGAAACATCCAATATATTACCTTCGTTGCATCGGTTTTCATCCTGGAACAGAACCAACGTCTTGTCAATCGACAGTATCATACGTCGGTTCTGTAAGATTCCGATGACGCGTGGATTTTTTTCAACCTGGCAATTGCATTTAAGTTAGCATACTTATCATCATACTTCAAATAATACTTACCAATTCATCACTTGAAATCCGGAACAGACCGTTGGTACAGAAGGCACTGTTCAGTGTTTCGTCTTCCACCGATACCAGCTCAAAGTTGGACCACATTTTTCAAACTCCCAACTGCTGAATGCAAGAACACTTAACTTTACAATGAAACTTCACTAAAATTAAAAACGTTAAATAGCATGAAAAATTAGGGAAGCTGATTTTTAGTTGACGATTTGGGAGAAAAACATAAAACGAGCGCCGTTTCGTACGATCTGAAAGTTTGTTTGAATTTTGTTTCCCGTAGCACACCGTTTCAAATAAAACGGATTGTAAGTTTTAATCATGCGATGATTTATTCGATGATTGATAGGGGTGTGAGCGGACAAGGTATATATAAAAATAATATTAACAGTATCCCCCCGCTCATCCGACAAAATAATCGCCGGATTATCGGGATTTCTCCGCTAATCCAACTATCAAATCCATACTAAAATATCAAAACAGACAGCGTGATTGCTGCCTGGGAGGGAGAAGCAGATTCGAAAAATATGAACGTCAAAAGGAGCCAGAATCAAACTTGTCACGAACTGTCTTTGGGAGCCAAGCAGTCTGCACGGAACCAAATTTTGTTCATTTCAATCAAAAATATATAAATAGTTCAAAGTAAATTGAAAACACGTGTTCAACAAAAAAAAAATGTATGTTCACGGCGAATGAGAACGACCCAAATTTGAGTTTAGTTCACTCATAATCGCCAAAAGTGCAGGAACTCAGCGATGAGTAAATTTGTCTCATGGTTTCCTATGGAAAACCTTAAAAATCTGCCGGAAAATGAGGAAATTGACGAAAATTTTATTCAGTCTCTGAGTAGTACCAATAGACTGAGTGAATCCAATCTTTACTTTTCTCAAATTCGAGAATTTTTTCCTGGAAAATCCTGGAAAAACCTGGAAAAACATGAGACAAATTTTACTCATCGCTGAGTTCCTGCACTTTTGGTGATTATGAGTGAACTATACTCAAATTTGAGTCGTTCTCATTCGCCGTGTTTGAATTAAATCGAAGACAACAAATCAAGAAAATTGGCAACTCTTCCATTTTCTTATACGAACGCTATGAGACAGGTACAATCGCGTCATCTGCCGCTCAAAGGTAAATGGTTCGAACGAATTTGATAGCAAAGATTACAATCTCAGAAGAATGGTTTGTGTTTTTGCTAATTTTTCTATGCATTGCTTCCGCCTTCACTCAAGCGCATCGCTTTTGTATCTGTCGCTTGAATTCTGGCAAAGTTGCCAGTCTTCTTGATATGATGTCTTCGATTAAATTCAAAAGCATCACAGAGAACAGACGCAATTAATCATGTTTTGTTGTTTGGGAATGGTAGGAAACCATTTGGAAATGCATGAACATTTTCAGTTTTTATTCATTATCGTCTTTATGGGCAGTTTTAGATGCACAAAAATTGCACGAGTACATTACTATGGTGATAAGGTAAACACTCGTTTATTTGTTTCCTTCTGTGAAAGCATGTTTAGTCACAAATCGTGGATTTTCTGATATTCTCCATACTGCAAAAATGATTTTCCTACCACTGAAGGGGCGACATCTCTCGGATCTTCAGTATAGCTACTACTCAAATCATATAATTAATTATTTTTCCGGTCAAAATAACTATATTGTTCAATTGTTTTAGAGATAACCCGAATTTATAGTTGATTTGACTATATATAGAGGGCAACAACTATAGTCCATAGTTGGCTCCTCGGTTGGCTCAACTATATTTTTCAATTGGCTAAAAATCTCTCTAATAAAGAAATTTTTTTTTTTCAGTAGATTAACAAACGTCAAACTTCAAAATACAACTATGCTTTAGTTGATTCAAGAAAACTATTGTTAGGGAAGCAAAATTTTTACAATGTTTATTAAACGAACTGCTCTTCATTATCGACATATTAAGGAAATTTGTTTTGCTTCTTTATCGATCTCAAAAACACAACTGCAAAATCATTAAAAAGGTGAACAAGAACATTCAACAAGATTTGAACCGTGTTCATCTGCGTGAGAGCCAGCTATCTTATCGCCTGCTCTACGCATCACAAGTATGTGAATTTATAATGATTCAACTATAACATTGACAATTATAACAACCGTCAAATGTAATTTAGTTGTTTCAAGTGACAACTAAATTACATTTGACGGTTGTTATAATTGATCAATGTTATAGTTGAATTGAGTATAAGATGAACAGTTGAATCCACAAACGAAGTGACAGACGACTAACTGGCGAAGAAATCAATTAAAATAATAAGGTTCGCTGTAATAGAATTTTCATAGAAGCTTGTGCCATCAGCCACCAGATGGGCTAGTATTTTTGTTCTGATTTGAACATAGTTGATTTGTGTGCAATATGATCTTTGACAGTGTGCAAAGAGTGTATCATTTTGTCATTTTTTTTATGCATTTCAGTTTAGAGTAGAGTGAAAGAGATAGAACCAAAACATTCTACACTGAAACAAATCGACATGTACCGTTTATTGGATCCATCTTTTAACATATTAATGTCAGCAGATTTATTCATTCTATGTGATGATTGATAGATTCCATCGGATTATCACTTAAAAACTATGACTGCGATATGGAATGATTTCTATCGTAATTTCACATGCTTAGTACTTGATAAAACTTTGCTTGGAACGTGGTTAGCGATAGGTAAGATGTATACCCTAATAAAAAATAACCATAAACGAACGATAACCCAAATCATTGAACTATTCCACAAATGGTTTGGATGATACCCAGAACACGTCGTTAAGCAAATTAACCATACAATTTTTATTAGGGTATGAATATTGTCTGATATATTTCATGGTGAAAAACTGGTGATATGTAATGGGTGGGAACAAACATCTAGAAACTAATGGAAAATCATATGAGTTTGCACTATGAGAAAATTCAGTAAAATATACCTGTTTTCATGATGAATATTGCTCACTAAAAGATATATCTTATAAGATAATCATGTATATTTTATTGGAGTTGCTTTTAACGATTTTTGACGTTTGTTGATATGTCGCGTGCAAACAGACATGTAGAAACTATTGGACTGTCATTTAACTTTGCAGTATAGGAAAACGTGTATATCTCATTGGAATAGCTTCCTTTGATTTTTGAGGTTTAAATATTGTAAACAGATCTATTCCAATCATTATATAGTCATATAGATTTGCCTTTTAAGAAATTCAACAGCAAACATTTGTTTTGGCATGGTTTTCCGGGAAGAATATCGCTCCCAATAAAAACATCTTACATGATTGTTCTTTATAAATTATTTTATAATTTATTAAATTATTGATAAGTCGAACTAACTATTGCTAACAACAATTATACTGTATTGAATAATCTTTGTTTGTTATTGTTCCATAAAAAAATGATTCTACTGCAATATTTACTTTGCTAAGATTCTAATTGCCTTCTACACGGTTAATTCAGATTCCAGCACTAGTACTCGAACTTCATAAACCAGTTCCATCAACTCATATAATGTAGTCGTTTGTTTTATTGCACACAAGAGCATTAAGAAACATTTGAATACACGACGCCACCGAAACGGAGCTTAAATTTGTCAGTGCTATTTTTCTTCACTCTAGCAAAACGAGCATAACGTTGCACTACATTTCATGTCAGGAGAGCTGTTCTTACTTCATGCTAATTGAACGAGCTCAATCTTGAAGTCAGCCGTGGCCCAGTGGAATCGAGCGCAGACACCGAAAGCATCACACCTCAACAGTTCTTGATCGAATCCCAAATCAGCTACAATAAAAAAAGACACAACTGGGAAAGCTCCCCACTGCCTGATGTTTATTTTTCGATTTATTTTTAGAAATCGATTAAATACATGTGTCAAAAGAAGAAGTTATTTTCATGTGATTTTCACATAAACTTTACTTCGATTGATTTATGACACATATATTATATTCTGGTGAAAAGTAAAGCTTATGCTTATGGGTTTCAAATCCATTTCAGTTAATTATTATAATTTGACCGATTTTCATTTATCATATGACGATCATATATAAGTTACCAAATTATCAGCATTGTAAATGTATCAGATATTCATATAGAATTTACCTGACACATTTTCAATCATATCATTTTCAATGGATTATCTTATAGCGCAAATTTATTAGACTTCCACATAACAGGAATATGTCATATTGGTTCAGTGTAGTAGCCATGTGGTACAATCCATTAGTAGTGTTGCCATGTGGTACAATCCAGTAGTGGTGGTGTTGCCATGTGATACACTGAAAAATTGCAATAGCAGGTGCGTCACCAAAGTTTTCGAGCCGCTCCGTCTGTCACTTCGTTTGTGGTTGAATCCATTAGGTAGATATGATTGAGTTGACGGTCAAATTAATGTTGGAAAAACTATAGGTTTCTTTCAAACAACAATATTTTTCCATGTGAAAGTAACTATTAGGATTGTTATCTTAACTTAACGAATTTGTTCTCCGTGATGTTTATTTCAACAATACATAATATGGGTAAACAATTTTCAGCGTGTCCTTTGTTCCTTGTTGTTTACATTCGACAAACTCAACCGAAAACGGGCTGCAAGCGGTGAAATCGAAGCAGAGGGTCCGGAAACCCACGCAAGCAAGTGTTCCAAGCTCGACAAAACCGGTGGAACCCCTCAATATCAACTTCACTCCGTCGTTGCTGATGCCGATCTCCATATTATCCTCACCCGACGTTGAAAGAATAACAGATAGTCCCTTAACACCAAGCGTAGAAAGAGACCGGTATGAGCTCAGGTATCAGGACCAGTGTCAGAAACGACAAAACGACGCTAATATCACAAATTTTCACCGGTTTTACTGAACTGGAACCCCCGGAAATCCACTCCGACGGCCCCCGGATCTCGGACCCGGATTCCAACACCCATAGACCACCCTTAATCGCACCAAAAAATAGTAGGAAAATAGATGCCCTGTCTGCCGATTTCTATTTATTTGCTATCCATTTTAAATATTTTGTTTTATCCCGCATTCAAATGCTAAAATAATTTCAAAATATGTTTTTATTTTATTTTAAACATGGAAAGCATGTTTAAAATAAACATATTTAGTTTTGTTTCTATATAGTTGTCAAATCTACCAAAAATATTCACGTTTATTTTCAACACGAATATTTTTTAAATAAACGTAACAATATTTTTGTTTTAAACATTATTAACAATGGATTCGAACATGGAATACGTTTGTAATTAACCTAGTTTATGTTTGTGGCCAGAACAAACTGAATTTAAGTTTAAATTTACCTCAAATTTGTATGTTTCGACGGAAAATTTTTCTGCGTGAATACATACAAACTATGCTCAAGTCACGAACAAGTTCTATTTTTTTTCTGGAAAAAAGGCACCAACTTGTGAACAGTAGTGAGAGGATATCCAGCTTTCCATTCTCAGTAATGGCGGCCTGTTTGTATGAATAAATGTATCCTTCCCTGTGCTATTTGGAGGTTCGCATTTTTACCCCTCCTTTTCTCTCTCCCAGGAACAGAAGAAAATGAAACAACATACGCCCTCCAGTTAGTGTCAAAAAGCACAGTGAAGGATACATTTATTCATACAAACAGGCCGCCATTACCGAGCATGGAAAGCTGGATAAACAAATGTAAGAAAGATAACATTTTTCAAGAAAAATGACTTGAAAATTGAATGCGATCGAGTCCGCACCAGTTAGCTTCCATGCTTCCATTTATTAACGTCCTTTTAAACAAACCACCTTGAAGAGATGGATATAGTTCATTCAGGACGGCGCACCAGTCAGGGTTTGAAGTCATTGTATACTAAAGTACTTACGTCGATTTGACAAGTTACTCTGTCGTATCGACTGTTATTTTTATCCATATACACATCTTGGTTTTGACAGCCCTGCATCAATGTTCTATGTTTTTCTCTTGTAGGGAACTTTCCGTTTCCTGTTGCATTCATCTTTTTTCTGATTCCACTCTTAGAAAAAAACCTCTGTAAGTGGAAATAGTGACTAAGTTGGTGATATTTTGTGGAAATTCTACTAGATGTAGGTATTCTGTGTTTCAGCTTAGTAAGTAAGTCGTTTTTTGTTGTTGATAATATGGTGTTCGTGTCGATATCACATTTATTGTGAGTTTACATGAGTATATTTCTGGAGTGCTTTTTGAATAGGTCGTATGAGATCGAGAAGCCCTTATGAAATGTAAATTCACGGGAGTTTTGAAAGAATTCAAGCTGAACATTGCATTAGGTCCTAAGTAACATTGATAGATTCTTTTCGTCGACTTTCTCTTTCGTTAATAACTTGAGCACATAACCGTTTCTTGTTGTGTTTGTCGTATTAGCACCGACAAACCGAAATGACACTTAATTCTGACTTATGCCCGAAAATCAGAAATTTTATTGTTTTTGCTATGGTCATTCATGTCGGTTTGTCGGTGGTATTAGATGCTAGATAAAAGTTTCTTTTGCCGATCTGTGTGCGGAAAATACCTGGAAATACCTTAACATGGCCGTGGGGATACAAAGCGAGAAAATCGACGAAGAGAATCTGTGAATGTTAATTAGGACTTAATGCAATGTTCAGCTTGAATAATTGTCAGATAGATTGTACCTCATGAAAAATAGAAAATTTAATAATTTTTTGATAATTGAAAACAAAATATATGTTATATCAAGGATTATCAAATGCACCTATCTACTTTTGTAAAGAAAGATTCGAAAATCAATTCTCGATGAACATTTCAAATGGTCCTATCTGCTTTGATCGATTATCTTCATCGACTTTTTCTTTTCATAACCACTGCTATGCAAACAGATTTAGCGCTAATTCTACCACAGAGTTTGATAAAGGAGATTCTTATCTAGCGTCCAAAACGTAAAATACTACAGGGCAAGGTTTTGCAACTGAGTTATTAACTAAAGAGAAAATTGATTAAGAGAATCGATCAATGCAGATAGGACCTTTTGAAATGTCTAGCTAATTATTTTTCGAATTTTAGCTATCCTACGTAAACCAACATCATTATAATGCAATAATGCCCTTAAAAGCATAATAGAATTACATATAATTGTCAGAAATGATCTATCCATTAGAACCGATTGTAAACTACTGACAATTTACACTGCACTAAAAATTATATGTTTTGTTCATAAAATATTGTAAAAAAAATCCAAATATAGGTTGTCCCATCCATAAGAATCTACGGAAAAATAAAATATTCAGCATTTTGATGATTGATTTCCAGATGGGACTGATATGCTTTTATGGGCAATATAGGTTAGCCGTTCACACTACAGCCTATCACCCTTCTTTTTCTTCGCATTTCAAGCTTATTGCTTATCGCATATTAGTTTATTGCGTGCTCTCAACTTGGTGTTCTAGATGCACTTCCACAGTTATTAATTGAAAGCTTTCGATGCCTGTACTATTTCTGTATTAGTATAATCATAGAGGTAACTCTAAGACCAGAAGGTCCCGAAGAATCGAGCTCAACTTTTTGGCTCAGCTGTGGTACTATCTTCGGTCCCAAGCTAATCGATGTACCCCTCTAAACATAGGAAAATCCACGAACCCCTCATTTTATCTGTCAAACTTTCACAGCGAATCAAAACAAACATTGTGTAGTACTAGAATTTTGACTAGAATGGGGCACGTTAATCGATTTGCTTGGGACCAATACTGCCCTGTGCGGCATAACAGTCCCATTAGCATTTTTGGCGATTATGAGTTATACATTGGAATCGATTGTCAAGTACCATCACTTTACAATGTACACGAAAAAAATCCTACTTTGTTCAGAAAATGTCGCGAAAAATAACAAAACTATGTTGTCCCATCCATAAGAGCCCATGGAAAAAAAATCTTCAACAGCGTTTTTCTCAGCTTGCTGTTTTAACGAATAGGACAACTATGCTGAAAAGGGCAGAATAGATGAGTCAAGTAGTGAGCCAATTTAAAATCGTTAGTTTCGTTTTGATTGTTGGTATAATTGTGTGGCAAGTACACTCATACTCCAATCATACTTATATGCCCAGGGAAGTCGAGAAATGTCTCAACCCGGAAAATTCCTAGACCGGACTGGGAATCGAACCCAGCCACCTCCAGCATGGTCTTGCTTTGTAGCTACGCCTTTACCGACTGAGCTAACGGAGACCTCATCCAATCACCCATTTTCTCGTTTTCGTATCTATTAGCTATTAACATTCGTAAAGTGCATGGGGAGCTGGATGGAACCACCAGGACATGAGCTTCCTGCGAAGAGTTAATTGGGAAACTGGAAAATGAGATATCGGGTACTGGAAAGACCAGGGGGTTCTCTCCAGATTGCGTACCGGTTATACCAAGCTGTCTCAAAACATGACAGGGGTGGCAAACTTCCACATTCCCTGCGGCACTTCCGCAATACAGGGTGCGTGACGAATTTTTGCAGTAAATTTCAAATAGTAATTTCTCATGCTTGTGCATCATGATTTAGATATATTTGGCAGCACTGGATAGCTTATACTGTTAGGTGTAAGATTTAAACAAACAATGTTGAGTAAACGTAAAGATGTCGAAACAAGAGAGCAATCTGTCAGCCGTTGTCGCTTTGTTGCGCGCCGGAGTATGCATGAAAGAAATAATTCGGTCGGTAAATGTGTCTGAAAGAACAGTGTATAATATTAAAAAAGGCTTGGGAAAGTGATAAGACGGAGCACCTGCTCATACTGCTAATGAAGCACAGAAATGGCTTACGGAAAATATTTCGTAAATTTGGGAGGAAGAAATTTGGCCCCCAAGCAGTCCCGATATCAATCCGTTGGATTATTTTGTATAGGGCGTCGTCCAACGGGATACCAATAGAACCCCTCACACCACACTTAAGTCGCTAAAAGCTAAAATCAAGGCAGTGATGACATCTATGGATCGATAACGGCGCCGGTGGTGTAGTGGTAAGCGTGATTACCTCTCACCCCAGCAGGCCTGGGTTCAATCCCAGTCGGCACCGCCGGGATGTTCTGAGGCATAATATCTCTGATCACGCCTTCCTTCGGATGGGAAGTAAAGCCGTTGGTCCCCGGTTCATGAGTTGATGGGTCGATAGGTAGGGTCCAGGAGTGGGAGCTGCCTTCCAGGCACGTCGGTAGCATTGGTGCTCAGCACGGAAAACAAGATCGACGGAAAAAAACAAACCAAAGGAAAAAAAAATCTATGGATCGAAACATTTTAAAACGTGCATACTGCAGTTTCCGGAAGCGTCTAACTACAGTCGTCGAAAGGGAAGGCAATTTTTTTTGAATAAATTTACTTACAACTTCCATATGTTGCGAAAAAAAATCGCACAAAATTCATTGCTAGAATAACTAACTGGTGTATTTTTTCTCAAATATGCCATTTACTGCAAAAATTCGTCACGCACCCTGTACATCTGTCAGTTGAGCACTTATTATCCACCTGCCCGTATTATCTACAATACAGACGCTCTCGGCCACGAGTCATAGAGAGGCAGCTTTACCAGCAAAAGTTGTTCATCGAACATGCATTTAAACATTCAATTTAAAAGTATCGTAGTTGGTAGTAACGCCACCAACTACGAATGTGTAGGAAGGCAGCTTTTCCACACCTGCTAAGGATATCGCACCCATTCAATACACATGGTCCCTTCCGCAGGAAGACGTGACCAGAGATTTTTATGCCTCAGAAAAATCCCACCGACCTCGGCTGGGATTGAACCCATACCCATTGGGGTGAGAAAGCAGTCACGCTTACCATTACCCCACCGGCGCCGGCTTTTCGATCCTACTCCCAGTAGGATGAAACAACAACAACATACCGCTTGATTGAAAGTTCCAGTACATTAGATAGTACATTGATTCCCACATTGAAATGTATTGGCCCCTTATCGTATCGAAAATAGCTTCGGAATGCTTGCGTTCTTGAAATGGCCTTTTGGAGTTGCGATAAAGCTATCACCTTCTAACTCCCAGATTTAAGCTTCTTGGAATTATATAAAAGATGGTTGCAGGAGGATTCTATCCATAATGTTAGAAGATTGTAAATACACACACACCCCAATATATCAAATGATTGTACTACAATACCCCAAATATCACTGCGACGAACGCCAGGACTCCGAATTCCTTTACCCCGAATGTGAACGAGCAGCAATCAAAGGAAGGCTAAATGTAGTTCGGGGAAGTGACCTTTCTGAGTAATAGCGTTCGTGAAGTGATATTCGGGGTAACGGCTTTTGTGGCAATGTAACACAATCGATATAACTTTGCAGTCTGAACATAGCATAAGATCCCCATGCAAACAACGCCAACTGGTAGATACATTACGTATGGTATGGATGGATTCCACATTCAAAATGTAACACGACTTTTTAGAACAAAATTTATACTATATTTGATCTTCTTATGGTCTTCTCAGTTGAAGCGACGGCAACATATCAAGAAGCAGTGGCGTCGCGTGAACCTCCCTTTTACCTGTTCATCAACTTTTGTCTCAAAAGGCACAGGGTCTTCTAGTGTCACTGATTTGTATCCATAGGAATCAATATTGTATGGTTTGCTTACGATCTGAGAGTTGTTAAACAGGTAAATTGAGGTTAGTGCGACGATACTGTCAAGGAGACTGACAACTCTCCCATTTTCTCATACAATCGTCATGAGATCCATAAGACAGACGCAATCGTGTCATCTGCCGCTCAAAGGTTTAGGTTTATGCGTTGCTTGCCACCTCCGCTCAAGCACAGCGCTACTGTATCTTGGATTCTGGCAAAGTTGCCAGTCTTCTTAAAATTATGTTTTCGGTAATAGTCTACACACGCTAAAAACAGATAACCCGAATGTAGCTTTGGTTTACCCAGATTAAACTACACCGGACAAACTAAGAATATGGGTAAGTTATTAACTCAAATATGGGTAAATTTAAGTTAAATTTGAATTAAACTAATTTATATATGGATAATATTTATCCATATTTGGGTTAGAAATTCACTCATATTCTGAATTTGTCTGGTTTAGCCCAATCTAGGAAAACCAAACCTAACCACGCCAAATGACGAATCGGAAAAACCAGGGATGGGCAACTGAACCAACCGGTTCGCACCGTGTGCTTTATTGCCGATTGACTCAAAACTTTCGATTTTTTAGTTTTGGCCTAAAATAAGTAAACCTAGCAATTTTGGTTCACACCGGAGAGGGTCAATGCATTTTCTCGGTCACTTGAGATGGAATGACCCATATGTAAGCTGTGAGTCAACAATATTTTAGTTGGATGTATAATTCAGTTCTTAGTTTAGGCATAAGGGAAGGAGGGGCATAGTGAACAGGTGAGACATAGTGATCTTCCTGTGCTGTAGCCTTGGATTTCTTATGGTTAGAAACAAAATAATTGATCATTAATCATTGCAACGGTGATATTGAACCTACACACTTAGTTTTTTCTACCGAGCTCGGTTGTGCAAATCTCAGCAAAAAAAGTTTTACTCTCAGCAAACATTTAATTTTCCTAAGCTAAGCTAAGCATTATCCGGGTCTCAGCAATCAAATGTCACTTTTGCTGAGATCTCAAAGAAACTTATTTTTGCCGAGATTTGCGCAGCCGAGCTCGGAAGGAAAAACTAAGTGTGTACTACTAGTTAATTTATTTCAAACAATTAAAGGTTTATGACTGGAGTACGAGATGCTCATTATGTCCCACCTGTTAACTATGCCCCTCTTACCCCTACCTGTCGTTGGGACATCTCCCATTTAGCAAAAACCCTGTAATCAGCAAATGATTGGCTGTACTTCCAGGGCTTACAGGAAAGATGGTAGAAATTGCGGCGAGTAACTTGAAATTGAGCGAACTTTGAAGCATTAACAATTTTTTGTCCAAAATTGAAAATTTGAAAGAATTGTAGGTTTAAGCTTAGGCAAAGCAGTTACGTATCTTCATTGTAAACATAAATTTAATTTGACTAAATTGCAGTTTCAACGCATTGCTTGCCTACGTGACCATTACGATCTATTTTCGAAAATTTACCTGGGTTGTTCTCCAAACCTGAACCACAATGGAAAACGGTGCATTGTCGTCACTTGATCCGGACTCCTACGAGCGTATTTATGTATGTCATATTTGTAACGGTATATCATTGGAGCCCGTGTGTGACAATGATCATATCACCGACGTTTTAGGTGTTGATTTCGAAAATTTCATCAAACCAACAACGCTGAGTACCAATAATGAACTTGTCTCTGAGGGGAAAACTCATCGGAAGGTTCGTTTAGCAATACATAATTCATTAAAAAGCATTAACATGAGGCTTGGTACATTTTAGGTCAAAATTTGCGCTGTTATTCCTCGTTTCGTCAACACTGATTGGCAACCACAGAACCAACTTGGTTACCTATGCCCAGCGTGTGGAGATTTTTCTCCTGATGCCGAATGCAAAAAGAGCCATGACATCCAAGCATTGAAAGACGTTTGCAATATGTGTGGAACTGAGTTTAAATCGATAGAAGAAATGTTGCAACATCGTACATGCTGTAGTTCTGTCGATAAATATTTCGTAGACAGTAGCATCATGACCATTGTTCCATCATGTAGCACTGGTCAAATGTTGTACAACGTCGTCCAACCAGTTGCTTTATACCTACCGGAAAACTTTGCAAGTATGGTACAGAAGGGCAGCCTAGGAACTGGTCATTACCAAGTTGTGGCTGCATTATTTGATACTGACAGTTCAAAGAAGGAAAACATGGATACCCTATCGGGTAGCGACTTCGATTTAGAACAAAACATTTTAGAATGGGACGAATCGATAGATTTAGCGGTTTTGGAAATGAATGATCCGTCTTACGAAATATTGGAAAATGATAAGAGTTTGAATGAACCAAAAATAGGCGAGGTGACTTCTGATCCAGCACTGGTAAGTTTCATCTGCTCTACTAGACAACAAATTAAAGATTATTTAACTGAATTTAGAAATATTTACAGATTAAACCATCCAAATGCGACCAAATGAGTTCTACCACTGTTATCAACAGGAAAGCTATGGGACACAAACTGGTCGAAAACAGAAGACTTCTTTGCTGTGTCAGATGTAAAATGGAGTTATTGAACGTGGATACACTGGTCGCCCACTATTTGTCCCACGGAAGCTCAACATTCATCTGTCAATTTTGCTTGCGTCACTATACCCGATCACACTGGTTTAAAGCTCATATGAAGAACCATGCCCATCAGTTGCCAATTGTGTGTTCGCTTTGTGATGATTCGTTTCTTTCCACAAAACTACACGAAGAGCATCTGAAAACGGTTCATCATTTGAGCGTACCCGACATTGGAAATACTTTGCTAGACAATCAGAAGAATGCTTTTATGTGCATGGAATGCGGGCGATGGCTTAAGTCGGAGAAGCACCTGAAGTCGCACAGACAAATGCATGACATGGTGAAAGGAAGGACTGTTCAATTGAAGAATCAGATAACGACAGTTGATCAACCGGTACTATTCGTTAATTTGTTATACAAGATTTCTTTTGTTTTGTGGCTTTCTCGGTCTACACACTTAGTTTTTTCTACCAAGCTCGACTGTGCAAATCTCGGAAATTTTTTTTTTTTGCATTTCATTTGTTTGCTGAGATTCAGCTAAGCATTATCCGAGACTCAGCAACCAAAAAATGTCACTTTTGCTGAGATCTCAGTGAAACTTATTTTTGCCGAGATTTGTACAGCCGAGCTCCTTAGAAAAAACTAAGTGTGTAGGCTAAACGGTCAGTTTTGCATTGCCCGACGTTTCGGCCATTCTTACTCAAAATAACGGTGGACTGTTTTACCCTTGAAAAACGCCACAATAAATGGCCGAAACGTCGGACAGTGCCAAACGGACCATTTGCATTATCGTAGACTGAGAAAGCAATAAAAAAAGAAATCTCCCCACATGCCAGTCGAACAACCGAATAAATTCGACAGAGAGCATGCATAAGGGCGAATATGCGATGATCGATTCTCTTCATCGATTTTCTCTTTGCATTGCTACAGCTAAGCGAAACAATTTTCTAGAATTTGTTCAATGCAGATTAGTAACAGGTAGGTTGTATTGGCTATCAAAAGCAACAGCAAACGCACCGAGAAACGTTAAATCTAGCGAGTTATTAACAAAAGAGAAAATCGACGAAGAGAATCGATCATCGCGTATAGGCCCTTATGCATGCTCACTGTCAATTATTGTTCTGTAGGAGCTTATTATAGCCCTTTATAATTATGTATTTCTAGATTCTTGCAGATGGTAGAAACAATGGGCGAGCATCGGCGAGCGCGGTTTCAACTAATACAAATTCACCCAAACAAGGGAAGAGGAAGCCTATTCATATTTTTGAATGCAACATTTGTTTGGCGACTATTAAGTCAATCGAAGAGGTACGCCAACACATGATGTCTCATGATGCTCATCGACTTAATAACTGTGAAACTTGCAGTGAGCGATTTCCAACGACGGCACAATTGCAGCAGCATAAATGTATAAGATACGATTCAAATCTTAATACATGTACAGACTGTAGCAAAGTTTTCAGTCATCCTGCTGGATTGCCATGTCATTTGAAAACTGACCATCAAGTGGAGACTATTTCCTGTGACAAGTGCCAGTTGAAATTCAAAGTGTTGAGTACTTATCTTATCCACCGTGCCAGGTACCATTGAGGAAGATAGTTGTGTGGAGTAAAACCCTTTAGTAAAAGTATGGACGGCCGTCATGAAACTAAACAGTCAAAATCCGTTCCACTTCAACAAAGCAATACATTTTGACAGTTTTGAACGAATTTGGATAGCCGTTCATACTTTTAATCCTGACTTTAGCCTGTAGTGGAGCTCAGATAAAAAGGTCGAAACATACAGCATTTAAAATGCATTGTATTAAGTGAAAATGTTCAACAATCGAAAATCGTTAAAATTTAATGGTTATCAGTATTTATTTGTTTCAATAAAATAAAACTTTAGTAAGTTAATAACATCCTTTTTTTCGATCCGAGGCCCGCAGCCAGCGCCAGTGTCATGTCATAACTCATACCAATCGATTCAGCTTGACGAGATGAGAAAATGTATGTGTGTGTTTAAGAAGGAACTTTCAAAATGCAATAGGGTTATTGCAGCTAGGTGGCAACCCTATCTTGTTTACCTTGCCTTGACAAGAGCTAACAATGCTAACATCGCTGCGGGCCCGCGAATTGTGGGCCCCCCTGACAGCTCATAATTTGTAAACAAATAGAAGATTCAAGCCAGAATTTCAAAAAAGGCGTGACCTATATTTTAGATATTCTTAATATTTTTGCTTTCATTTTATGAAAAATAAACTTATAACTCATAAAACATTATTTTCTGATTTGCCATTTTTGAAGTTCACACTTGAATTGTGACGTTTCAGATGTTGGTTTCAATAACATGGTGGCATATCACCCAGCTGGGTTATTGCTCTAGTGTTCTTAAATGCAGCAATCCAGCAATTTTTTACCCACCAAACCTACCTCACTCACCTCTTGCTGGATTACCCCTGGGACTACACCAGAATGCACTAATGCTCATGCACCTCTCTTCAGCTCAGCTAGCCGGCGTTGCTAGTTCGCTGATCTTCTCTCCACTTTCGATGCAGTTCAGACAGTATTTGAGTGACTGCCCAGCTGGCGGCATTCCAGATGCCCTCATCTCGATACATTTCATGGACGATATAAGAGCTCTCCCTTCGCACTGCGTCAAATCTAAGACAGTCAAAGACCACGTGCTCCGGCGTTTGCTCAAAAATTCCACATTCCGTACAGAAGGGTGATCTTGCGTGACCGAAACGATGTAGATACTCCCCCTTATTCTGCGAGTCAGGTGGCTCTCTGTCACCTCGTGTGTGGAGAGTCACCTGACCAAATGACTCGCTGAAGGGGGGGGGGGGGGGGGGGCAATACAATTGTTTTTGTTATAATTTTTTTCCTTGATTTGTTTTCCGTCGATATTGTTTACCGTACTGAGTACCAATGCGTGATCAGAGATTTTATGCCTCAGAAAATCCCGTCGGTCTCGACTGGGATTGAACCCAGTCCCTTTGGGGTGGTTTTTGTTATGCTTATTTACTTGTTCGGGGTATCATCCAACAAAAAGTGGAATAGTTCTGTCATTTGGGTTACCGTTCGTTTATGGTATTATTTTATTAGGGTAAAGCATAACCAGATAGGAATTGTGTCAGGTGGAAGCAGGTCTGAACATACTCATTATAGCTAAAATACTACTTTTCGAAATTATGAAACTATGAGATATTATAATAAAATTTTTTATATGTAAGATGCAAGAAGAGGAGATGAAGTTTGTGTATGATACATAAAACCAGTTAGTTTTGCTTTCAGAGTCCCACATAATAAATAATCATTGAATTTTAATTAGTGTAGAGTTCTGGAAAATGGTTCTCTGGAGGGAAGAATCAAAATTCGAGCTGTTTAACCGAAAGCTGTGTGTGGTGCAGATCGGTTAAGGAGCTTCAGGAGTGCCACATCCAAGGTACGGTGAAGCATGGAGGAGGAAATGTATGACGGAATAATGACGGCAGATTCCTACATCAACATCCTGCGGGAAAATCTGGAAGTTTCGCTGATCCAGACGGGCCATGTTGAAGTTCGTATTCCAGCACAACAACGACCTGAAGCTACTGCCAAGAAGACCAAGTCTTTCTTCCGCTCTTGACGGATCAAACCGCTGGAATGGCCTCCACAAAGCCCGGGCCTCAACCTCATCTAGAATTTTTGGGTGATTCTCGATGCCAGGGTTGACAAAACTGGTGTTACCAATAAAAATAACTATTTGAAGTCCTGGAGCGCGCCTGGAAAGAGCTAGAATCTACAGCACCTAAAGAACCTGGTGGAGAGCATGCCGAAGTGCCTGCATCAGGTCCTGAAGGCCAAAGGAGGACACATTAATTATTCAAATGATTTTCTTTTACTTTAATTTATCTTTTCAGGAGCCAAAATCAAGTGAGCACTTTTGTTGTCACTGGTTTTCTTTCAATACAAATTGTTTTTTTTTTCTTTATGTAAAACTCTTTTTGTGAAACGTGAAACTTTAAAAGAATATATAAATAAAATATATAAAAAGTGTGTTTACTTTAGTTTGAACCAAGTAAAATTTTTAAGATACAATTTTTGTTTTTTGTTTGTGCGTATCACCGTTCGCAAACACCAAGGGCGCGTTGGTCCTCCATGAGCATAGTTCAGGTCTCGTGGCCGTAGAGGACCACTGGTCTAATCAGCGTCTTGTAGATAGTCTACTTCGTGCAGCTGCGGTTTTTTCGTCGACCGGAGCGTCGAAAGTAGACACGATTCCCTGTCATAATGCGTCTTTGAATTTATCTGCTGGTATCATTTTCGGCGGTCACCAGTGAGCCTAAATACACCGTCACCGTCAATGTGAACTCGGGGTGGGAGGCTAACATTGGCTTCCCTAGAACCCCTTCTTCTCATGTATTTCGCCTTCGATGCGTTGATGGCAAGTCCAAACCGCCAGACTTCTTATCACACCTTCTTACGCGTAACCCCCTTCGAGATTTAAAGGGACACGAGAGTGTCCCCGATACTCGAACAACGCACATCATTCGATCCTTTGTCGCCTTGACCAACCGCGTCAGTTTATCCGGAAATCCGTACTCGTGCATAATCTGCCATAGCTGATCTCGATCGATGCTGATGCTGATTTGAAATCGATGAACAGATGATGTGTGGGCACATTGTATGCGCGGCATTTCTGCAGAACCTGCCGAATCGCGAAAATTTGGTCCGTGGTAGCGCGGGCACCCATGAATTCCGCCTGGTATTGTCCCACGAATTATCTTACAAATGGTGACAGGCGGCGGCATAGTATTTAAGAGATTACCTTATAGGCGGCGCTCAGCAGAGTGATCGCACGGTAGTTTCAGCAATCCAACTTGTTGCCCTTTTTGTAGATTGGGCATCCGACACCTTCCATCCACTCCTCCGGTAATATCTCATCCTCCCAAATCTTGGCAATTACCGAGGGAGGCGACACATCTAAATCTCAATTCTAGATGCTCAAAAAATCGCGAATAAAACGCGCAGTTAGCCACAGCAAAACACAATATTTCCTGCATCGAAGATAGAGTCGTCCCCCTCGGCAATTACCCAGTGCAGAGCTCTAGCCAGTGCTTCACCACCGTATTTTAATAGCTCACTTGGTAGTTGATCTACACCAGTTGCTTTGTTGTTCTTCAGCCGACCGATCTCCTCCTCAACTTCTTGAAGATCAGGGGCCGGTAGCCTGTCGTCTTCTGCGCGTGTTCTAAGGTCTGTTGCCGTGCCACCTTCGTGTTCTGCTGCATCACCGTTGAGGTGCTCGTCGTAGTACCAACAATCAATACGAAACTAACGATTTTAAATTGGCTCACTACTTGACTAGCCTATTGGTCCCAAGCAAACGATTAACGTGCCACATTCTAGTCGAAACTCTAGTACTACGCAATGTTTGTTTTGATTCGCTATGAAAGTTTGACAGATAACATGAGGGGTTATTAGTTTTTCCTATGTTTCGAGGGGTGAATCGATTAGCTTGGGACCGAAGAGAGTACCAGAGCTGAGCCAAAAAATTGAGCTCGTTTCTTCGGGACCCTCTGGTCTTAGAGTTACCTCTATGGTAGTACTGCTTCCACCTCTCAATCACCTCACACTCGTTCGTGAAAAGACTACCGTCCAAGTCCTTGCACATATCGGCTTGCGGCGCATAGCCTTTGCGCGAACTATTTAGCTTCTCGTAGAACTTCCGCGTGTCGTTTACGCGGTACAAATTTTCCATCGCCTCGCGATCTCGGTCTTCCTGCTGACGCGTCTTCCTTCGGAAAACCGAGTTTTGTCTGTTCCGCGCTTGTCTGTATCGCTCCACATTCAATCTCGTGCGGTGTTGCAGCATTCTCGCCCGTGCTGCATTCTTCTCCTCTACTAACAGTTTGTATTCATCGTCAAACCAGTCATTTCTTCGGTCCGGGATCGCAGTACCTAGTGCCGATGCAGCAGTACTACCTATGGCGGAACGGATGTCCCTCCAGCCATCTTCAAGAGAAGTTGCGCCAAGCTGCTCTTCCGTGGGTAGTGCAACTTCCAGCTGCTGCGCGTAGTCCTGGGCAACTCCTGTAGTACTGGGCACTTTTCTACGGGTGTTATGCACCGCCAAGAGTTTTGAGCGCATGCATACTGCAACTAGGTAGTGGTTCGAATCTATGTTCGCACTGCGGTACGTGTGGATGTTGATAATGTCGTAGAAGAATTTCCCGTCGATTAGGTTTCCTGTCTGTTGGTCAGGTGATCAAAGCCACCTGTTTGTGGATATCCTTGCGGGGGGAAAAAGTACTTCAAACTACCATACCCCAAGAGGCTGCAAAGTTCACGCATCGTTGGCCGTTGTCGTTCGATACGGCATGCAAGCTGTTTGGCCGATTGCCGGTCTATACATTGCCTCCCGTCCTACCTGAACGTTCATGTCGCCGATGACAATTTTGACGTCCCGTTGCGAACAGCCGTCGTACACCTGCTCCAGCTGCGCATAGAACACTTCTTTCTCGTCGTCGGGTCTCCCCGTGTGGGCAGTGTACGTTGATGATGCTGTAGTTGAAGAAACGGCCATTAATCCTCATCTTGCACATCCTTGCGTTTATCGGCTGCCAACCAACCCATCACTACAAAGCCGGTTCCCAGCTTGTTGGTGGTGCCACAAGCCGCTCGATGCCCGCTTTTCCATACCTTTTGTCCCGTCCAGCAAAGTTCCTGCAGTGCTACGACTTCGAAGTTGCGTGGTTGAAGTTCGTCATAGATTAATCTATCGCAGCCCGGGAAACCGAGCGATTTGCAGTTCCATGTTCCGAGTTTCCAATCGTAGTCCTTATTTCGTCGCGTAGGTCTGTGCCGCTTGTTCCGATCCGTATTTCTTTCTTCGGTATTTGCAACTTTATGTTTTTTTCCAGGGCGGCTTGTTGGGCCTTCCCCAACCTCCTGTCTCGCCGGGGAACCATCGTGCACAGCTCTGTTTAGAGTAACACGCTGGCACTAGGACGGTGATCAGCCGCTCCTAACATGGAGAATAGACGCCGTTTTGAGCCGCACCTCTATGGTGAACAGACCATGCTTGGCATACACAGTTTTGGTCACGAACTGCTCATTTGCTAATAACTTTGCACACAGTTGACAAAACATAGTTCTGTTTGAAGCAGTAGATAGAATAAAGTTTAAACTTGTACGCAATAAAAAGTTGATTTTAATTGTAGTAATAAACTGTATTTGTTTTTCCGTTTTAAAAATCAAGTGAGAAATGCCCGCTGCACATCTTGGACTTTAAGTGTAAAAATTCATTGGTGTTGATTCAAATGTTAAGATTTACTTACTTTTTACATATCTTTAGTAAGCTATGATCCTAATCTATCAATTACTCTAAAGAACATCAATTTTCAATAACTGAATGAAAAGTTATTAATAAATGAGCAGTTGGTGTGTAAAACTGTGCATGCCAAGCATGGAACAGACCTTTGGGTTTGGTGAAGCATTTCCTCTATCACCTTACAATGGTTACCGCGCCAGTGTTCGCGTCGCACCTCTTCACTTTGCTGTTGCCGGACTGGCAACATTGCCCAGGCTACGCCATCCAGCTGTGCCCATGTTTCAGCTGGTAGTCTTTTGTTATCATATGACTCGGGGAGGCGTGAAGTAGGAACTTGTGAGGACCAGAGCTAGGTATTCCGCTCCTTCCAGGTTGTCAACTCACCATTTTGTAGCCCTAATCCAATAATGCGTACACGCCGATTTGTTTCAGTGCATGTTTCAGCTGAGCATTTCCACGCCAAAAAAACTCGACCTTTTTCGATTTGGATAAAACTTTGCATAATTGCGAGTTATGGGCAATCATTCACAGTTTTATAAAAATTCGACCATTTTTTTTATTGTATTTCTTTCAAAATGGCATATTTGTATTTAAAAAAAAATGGAAGCACTTAATTGTCACTTCTGATAGAATGACGTCGGGGACAAAGTAGTAGAGAAAAATAGTCTTTCTGAAAAATATACTGGAAGACGTAAATCGATTCAACTGCTGTGCAAAAAGTTAATTGTAAATTTGCAAATGAAGTTTCTTACCGTTTTCCATACAAACTTTAAAGTTCTCCCACAAATCCGGATCGAAAACAAATTCGTGTGTTATGCAGAGGGAGCAGAGGGTTGTAAAGTTGGCTGTAAAGCCAATAAGCTTGCGTAACTTTTTTTTTTTTTTTTTTTTTCTTTATTTTTGTGATTTTTAGCCGTAGGCTAGTTCATCACATTTGATAATCGAGGGTCAGGCTTAGGGCCTGCCTCGAAAGAAAGCGTTTCAGTCTATCATTACATAACGTACAACTGGCTCTGATTACCCACCAAAAGGGACAGACAACATTTTTAAAAACTTAATGTAAAGTGGGAGTTACATCGGGACTGTGGTGAGGAATGGATGCGCGAACAAGGTAGAGCTCCACCGTAAGAGACAGTGCCCCAGTCCGGCAGAGATACCCCGACGGCAGGAAAATAGGAAGGTGAAAGAACACGGACAGCGCAGCCCACGACGAGAGGGCTAGATTTGGTTGTATAGGTGAGCGTCCTTCAAGAATGCAATCAGCGCAGTCAACGTCGAGGGGTCGTTGCCAAGTAGCTCCCTGATGCTCTCTGGGAGTCGGTGTTGTTCGCGTAGCCTCTGAAACTCTGGGCAGACACACAGCACGTGTTCCACCGAGGCAGGGATGCTGCAGATTGGACAAACCTTGTGGAAGGGTGTCCCACCAAAATTGTGGGAAATCCTCGCATGGCCGGTCCGGAGTCTTGAAATAATCCGCTGGTCTTTGTACTTGTGGCTGTCTTGCCAAGGTCGTACGGTTTCTTTGATCTTTCTCAGGAGGGTGGTGCGTGACTGAAACCATTCCTCCTGCCAGGCTTCCATGATGATATTCGCAATCCAACGCCTGACGTCTAGGAGTGGTACGTTCCTGGTGAAGCGGGGTCCGGATGGACCAGATCCCGCCAGCCTGTCCGCTGCCTCGTTTCCAGGAACACCGCAGTGCCCGGGAATCCACGTAAAAACGGTTGAGGGTGGCCTTGCGTAACTGTTGAGAGCATATTTTTGTTTTATCAAATTTCACCAAACGCCCCTTAAGCGAGGTCAAATAAGCTTATCAAAGCAAGTAAGCAAGTAAAACAACGTCATATGTTATATGTATATAGATATTAGGTATCTCGATATTTTGCGCCACATAATACAATCAACTACGCGTCTCCACCTTATTCATAGACGATAAGAAGGGCTTTTCTATCCGTTTTCTGCTTGTTTGAAGATCACACCAGTAAGCTAACAGCCAACCAACCAACCACCACAGCTGCACAGAACAACACTGAGCGAACGAGTATGAATGGAAAGCCGAACATCGCCCGAATGAGCACGTGTTTTCGTCTCCTGTCTTCTATCATTCGCGCACCACCCTTCCCGCCCACAAGGTTTTACACATGATAACGTTATCCGTCCGTCTCGCGTATGCTTGTGTTGTTTATATTTAGCGGTATTTTACATTTCACGTTTCCCGCCGTTCCTTCCAGTGCAATTCTGTTTTTAGCGAGCAGCTGGCCGGTTGTTGTTGTTTGCATTTCACTTCGGCTATGCTCGTGCGTTCGGCTTTATGCTCCTTTTCGTTGGCGGTACTCCACCATCACCACAGGCAGCCCTTTTGCTCCGTGGCGAGCGACTCAACGCTGTCGACGACGGTCGGTCCAGTGGGAGACGGATTGTAAAAAAGTAGAATATGAAAATGCTTGAACTATGTCACCACCATGCTGCCGCTCTTTGCGTATTTCAAAGCAGCGAGGTTGGAATTGACAGTGGTGCGTCGAGCTGCCTCAGTTGGACGTGTGACTTCGCCGGGATCGGACGTGTTTTAGTGAAAAGTGGTTGAACACGAGTAAAGCAAAGTGTTGTTTGGAGTAAAGTTGATCTTTTTTTTTTCCTGCGCAAGACAGAGGTGCAACTGATATTATTGTGGTTGATCAAGACTTTGTGATCTACGTGTGGTTGTTTAAGTTGTAAGCGAATACGATTACATGGTAGCTTATGTTGGGTGTTGCAGAAAGAAGTACCACAAGGAAAAATAAGTGTTATTTACTTTCACCTGGTGTGTTTTCGAACTTGGTGGTAGTGACACTGAGCAGCGTTATTTTTGTTCAATTGCTTTTGTCAGATAAAAACGTTGCATGGGCAGGGCATTTCGTAAATTTCGTAGTCGTGGTTTCCTCGCGACGATCATATTGGCGTAATTCACGCATGCACGCAAGGAGGGTTCAACGTTCTCACGAGTGATTTTCGTGAATCTGTTTGAAAGGAAAATGGGAAAGAGAGGAATAATGTGAAAAAAGTGATGATTTATTTATAAAACAAGAAGATTGAACCGCAGTTTCGCGAGAGCTAGAACTTGGTTGTTTTGCTGTTGTAGGCTGGTTATTCAATGCTGTACGCGACGCGGTGTTCTAGTTTTACATTTTTAGTTTTCATCTTATACTGTGTTCATGCAGCTGTGTGAGAATTGCGTGCGGGTTTTCGCCTTTTCCTTTCATTGAGAAACGAAAATAACCTTGAGTGCAAAGTGAACGAGATTTTCAAGTTGAGACTGGACATTTCTGCTAGTTTTCCTAGCCGTCGTCGTAAGCCGTGTGTCTCGTACCGAGTGACAACGGTGTGTAACAACCTGCATGTATCCGTGTTATGGCTGGTTTCTGTGTTTCTACTTATGGTACCAGTAAGCTAAATAATCGAACAACGACTGGGAAGTGTCGCGGTTCTCATTGAGACACGATCCAACAACATGTGTTGCGAATAAATATTTACATCCGATCACGGTGGGATTTCCTCGACACCCAAGCTGGGCCCAGTAAACATTTTGGCTGCCAGATTTACGACCGTTGTTGCTGCGTGTATGGACAGAGAAAACAGATTGAACCGATCATCCGGTGACGTCTGCTAAGGTGAGTACAAGCAAGGTGTTTATTTTCGAAATGATGTTGTAGCCTAACAGAGAAAACAAGAAATGTGATGTTGTTTTATTTTTTTAAATAAATGTGCTCATAAGTTGGTGTTTATTGCTAATGAAAACCGAGTTAAAAATATTATTTTGATGGAAAGCAGGTTCGTGACATTAGTGATTAGCGTGAGAAATAGAACTGTGATCTCTTGGGCTGGCGTTATACATACTAGTCGAAGCAACGCATACAGGTCTCACACTACAGAATTGTAGATACACTTTTAAACATGCTGAATTCCAGGCTCTTTGAAGAAAGTCGTTGGCCAATAAAATCCCACAAATTTCGAATGATAGGTGCTTGATTGTTACTTTGGTAATTTGATGTAAGGTATCCACATTTATGCCTTTGACGAAACATCAAAACCTAAAATTGAACGCCTTAAGCAAGGGTACCACCATTTTCCAGTGGTACTCTATTTTGATGCCTGCGGAAAAAAAATCTAACTTCAATTACGTTTTTAAAACATATTTTTGAACCGTTATTGGCTCTGAAACGAATTAATTCCGATTAATCTATTTATTTTATTAGCTCTGAACAGTTACAGTGTATAATTGTTTGTTATTGCATTTTCGTGTTTCATTTACCCGTTTAAGTTGGACCGTATGAATGTCATACCAATGTCACCTTTTTGTTTTGAATGCTTTTAACGTGATTGACTGGCCATGTGCGTTCCATGCGAGTGTCAATCTTACTGACCATTATGCAAGAAGTACCAGTAAAATCTTTTCCTAAATATTCACGACATAGATCTCGCGCATACAAAATTGCTTAAGCAATATCATGCCAAATTTTTTTAAATTAATCTAGCGTTCGAAATAATAAGTGCCAATGGTTTTTGTATTAACACGAGCAGTGTTTTGGGTAATAGAGTAAGGTGGTATAAATTTTCGAGCTAGAAATATCTCAAAACTCCAAGCATTTTGAAACAAAGTAATTCTATACACAATCCCCCTTATTCTGTGCCGCGAGTGAGGTGAAGTGCAAATCAAATGGAAACTCATCTCACTCGCGGTGACTATTGTCATCTCACTAGTGACAGCGAGTTACCTCACCTCATTCGCAGTGCAGAATAGGCCTCAATATTCCTAATTTAAGGATTACAGCTTTCTCTTGCAGAGCTTTGATGAATTTACAGTTCATTCATGATCTTTCAGAAGATTTTTCAAATCGAACTTTTACCCTACCGGTTAGCTGACACTTTCAGTCGTGGAAGTGGGTCGATTGAGCACTGGGGTAAAAGTTCACCAACTTTAAGACGATTTTGAGAAGTTTTGTCACTGGAAAATGTCAAATTCCCCATGATGATTTGTAAAGCATAACTAAACCGTATATTTCTGCACAGATATTGTTAGTGTTTATACCAATAAATGCAGGACCAACATTTTTGTGAGACCTTCTGCACATTCTACTCTTACAAGGGTTTAGGACATCACTCAAATTTTACCTCACTATGGGCAATTCAAGCTTTTGAAACATTGTAGCTCATCCTTGTTGTAATATCCTGTAAAATCTGGTCAGAACACCACGGGTTCCCTAGGGATGACTTGAAGTACTCCGTCTTGTAAAATTCCGAGTATGTGTTTTGTACGTAATGAAAATCTTAGTCTACTGGTCGCATCTACAGATACCGATAAAATCTCATTTCAATTTGACAGGAACACCTCAAAGGCGCAGCTACAAAGCAAGACCATGCTGAAGGTGGCTGGGTTCTATTCCCGATCCGGTCTAGGAATTTTTTTCGGGTTGGAAAATTTCTCGACTTCCCTGGGCATAGAAGTACGATTGGCATCGAAAGGTATCAATTAATAACTGTGGAAGTGCATCTAGAACACCAAGTTGAGAGCACGCTATAAGCTAATATGCGATATGCAATAAGCTTGAAATGCGAAGAAGAAGAAAAAGATCTCCCCGAACCGCTGCCAAGTAAAACGTTTGTCCCAGTAGCTGTGTAAAGTTGGCCTTCAGGAATTTGATCAGCACTCGGTCATAAAGCTTTTGGGTAAGGTGGCTGCCGGGTAGACGCGACACGTGACGCGACGCGATGCGACTCACGCAAGGAATAATAATAAATAATAAGATTCCTTTGAATTTGTCGCGTCGCGTCGCGAATCGCATCTACCCTGGCCGTACCCTAAGAGTTCATGCCACATTATTCTCCATTAAATGTGCAGTTTTCAATAAAGTTGTTCAGAAATTAGAGAAGAACAGAATATTTTGGTAATCCTTATATTTTATCCATTACTATTAGCCTCAAACAACAAACGTTGATTTTTTGTTTTGTTCCAATTGAGGTCGCGAGTGTTTTTTCTTCTTATTTACGAACAATGCTTATAGTTTTACCATAAAGGCTTTTCCCCATCGTATCATTAAGACAGTTACGTTAGATGAGGTTGTAGAAATAAATAAACAAATAAACTAGCCTCAGGCTAAAAATCAGTCTAAAAAAGAAAATCTTGATTAACTATTTCAATAATTAGCGAACAATAATTTTGAACATGACTTTTTAAAATTATAAATAAAATTCAGTTTCCTAAGAAAAACTATTAAAGTTGGTATGATTTTCTTTAAAATATTTATGCATCTACATTATTTCATGGATCGTAACGCAGTTTCTATCGTATAAGTTAGATCTAGATATTTCGTTCGGCTTATTAATTTACTTTGATTAGAATAGGTTATAATCAATGACAAATCGACATTTTACTAATTTGTGAAGGTTGACCAGATTTTTGTATTTACAAGTTATTTACTACTACAAGTTCATCGACTTGATTGGAAAACGATGCTTAAGTCTTTGAACGGGTGTGTTTTTTTTTGTAACCAGCGGAGTGTAAGTGTGCTTGGGATTTTCATTGCCTTCCGGGAGGCGGGTTCACTGTGTTCGGATGTCACGCTTTCGGCGTGTAGTTCTGTCGAGAGTCTCGTCACCGTGTGTGAGTTTGAACACGGTCCGGTTGGTAAATTAGCCGGGGAAAGTGCTGATAATGTGTCCATCGCGAGTTTTGGTGGTGATTCGGTGGCCGACGTTGCCGTGAATCAGAAAGTTTACGGCTTACAAAAGTGCTCGCCAGTGTCGGAGATTGTGAGCAAGCTGAAAGATGTCTCGCTGGATACGCTCAAGGCTTGACGGGCGGTAGCTGATGGCCGTGAACGGTTCCTGGGGAAAGCACTAGACGTGAATCTGTTTTCGTTGCAAAAATATCTAATAGCAATTACCTTTGTTGTATTTCTTCCTAGCAATACAACAAAGGTAATTGCAATTAGATATTTTTGCAAACAGTGATCGATAGCAGCCATGAAGCTCAAGTGGAGGTGCCGGGCAAAGGTGTTATATCCTAGACAAATGGTAAGTTAAAAATTCGCTGTTGTCGTCTTCGTAGGCGCCGTCGTATTCGGCGTTTTAGTCGCTGTCGTAGTCGCCGTAGGCAGTACAGTTAGTATATTTAAAATTAACTATCAGCCGCTGAAAATATATATATATGTATATGTATATATTATCGCGTATTTCGATGTTCATTACATACCAAGTGAAATTCGAGAACGTAATTTCATTTGAATAGCAAGTTTAACCTCCTAAGTTTAACCTAAGATCGCTTGTTTATCGTGTATTTTGTAAAACTTTTCGTTGTCGTCGGTGCCGGGTTTGAATAGTTATAACAACTTGAGTAACGGTATAATGTGATATGAAGGGCTCGGTGGCCTTAGAGCAACCGTTTTTGCTTACTGAGCAGAACATCATGAGTCTAATCTCAAGCCCATCCACATTCAAGATTCGTTAATCGTTTTATTTGTTAACATGACTACATGGTAATAACATCAACTCGATGATTAAAAAGGATCTCATCTGCCTAGTGGCAAACGTTTTTGCTTACTCAGAAGAAGACCGTGGGTTCAATCCCAAGCTCCTTCGCGTTATATGATCGTTAGAACATCAATTAAGCTTGTCGTTTACCAAAACGAACCCTGCTGCAAACCCAATTCTCTTACCCAACATCCCTGTGATTCCTCGTGGAAGTGCAGAGGACTCCTCGGTTTCCTTCAAAGTGAGTGTTACATCAACACATTCCTACCCATTCCTTTATTGACCTGCGTTCAGGCACGACTGGCACTGGTATTGCCTAATTTGAGATCACCAGTTTTTACATATTGAGGATGATTGCTAGTCCCAAGCATCATTTATTGGATCTCTGTGTAATTACAGCTGGTCTGGCAATAACAGAGTAGCAACCGTGGGCGGTCAATCAGGCTCATGTTCATGCTGGATTGGAAAACGATGCTTAAGGGATGCTCATTCGAACCAATACCTCCCAGTACGCTAGACGGGCGCTCTACTGTGCCAAAATTGAGCGAATTGGGTTGCGATCTGGAGATTTTGGTTGTAGGACCTTTTAAAATGATACGCGAGATAGGAATTAAAATGATTAAAAGGGCCGAGAAAAAGGCAGAGATTATTAACAATCCATTTTCTGTTTTTTTTACGTTTTAGTTGTAGGCCTTTTTCAAATGTGAACTGCTCGGGGTCTTCATCGAAACTGCCGTAAAAATGCCGATGTTTTGAAGATGCAGAACTACATCTCCAACTTCTTGCTGCATTCGATTCCAAAATATATTATTGATAGAAATGTTTATAAGTATCAATTACTTTTCAAAAAACCTAGATTATAATAAAAACTTACTGTCTGCTTTCCGGCTTGCTTGGAGCTGTAACCTGAAAGTGAGTCCGAAGAAGAAGAAACATTATTCTGCATCTCGATGTTTGATTCGGATTTTAGTATTCAATACAGTTAAAATCAACAACAGTGAAATAGGTATAAGACTGCTGTTCACCACTTTCAGAGCAAACGAGGTTAAATATCTAGCTGAAGATTTCAGAAAGTCTTAAATGAACCTTAAACTCGAATTGTTGTCAAGAAATAATAAGAGCTTTAGCTAAAATCCACTAG